ATTGATTCGTGCATTGCCTCTGATTTCACACCAGTGTGCCAAATTTCAGATCAATTAGACAGGTAAAAGTGTGTCAAATATCAGTTATAAGATTTGTAGCTGACAAAATTATTTTTTTCAATTTTCTTAATATTGAAAAAAAAAATTGTTAATTTCAAAAATCATTTATTTTGACATTTGATTCATGCATTGTCTCCAACTTTACACTAGTGGGCAAAATTTCAGATCGATAGGATAAGTAGAAATGTATTAAATTTTGATTACAAGATTTGTAGCAGACAGACAGACAGACAGACCGACAGTCAGACAGACAGACAAACAAGAAGTGAAGTTAAAGAGAAGTATTGTAAAAAGTGACGTTTACTTTATTCAAAACAATAGTGCCGCACAACAGTGTATCGAATTTATACTGTCTACCGGCTCCGTTGAGGGTAATGGATGCACCGCAAGCCAGAACCTGACATGATCGTTGCGACAGTCAAATCTTACTTCAAGGTTCAAGGTTCACTTCGTATCCACAATACGATTAGCTATTAGGTGCCACTTCTAAACCAGCTAGTGGTATCATCTCCGGATGCTATTGGAGAGAATCAATCATTTTTTTCGGATTGGAGAGAAGGCACTTGGCAAACCCAAATTATTTAGCTCAAATTTTCAGAGAAAATAATGCTCTTTTTCAGTATATTGGCTATGTATTTTACAACACTTCTCTTTAACTTCGCTTCTTGTGGTTTATTTGTCTGTCTGCTACAAATCTTGCAATCGATATTCAACACACTTCTACCTCTCCAATCGATCTGAAATTTTTCAAACTTGCGTAAAGTCGGAGACAATGCATGAATCAATTGACAAAATAAATAATAATAAAAATTAAAAAAAAATTTCAATATTAAAAAAATGAACAAATAATATTATCTGCTACAAATTAGTCTTATATTCGATATTTAACAAACTTCTACCTGTCCAATCGATCTGGAAATATACTTTCAGAACTCGCTAAGTGAACGTAAGTACTTAAGCTCTATTTTCTTGTCTACCATTGGTGGATTTTGCTTGAAAGGCCGTCGATGATTGGCTGATGAACTTACGATCTCTTAACTTTTTTTGAAAGTATAGGCCCTGAAATTGCGAACACTTGCGTAAAATGTAATCAATTGACAGAATAAATAATTTTGAAGATTTAATTCTTTATATATTAAAAAAATGAAAATTAATTTTTTGTAATATTCGAAAATAAGATCAAAAATTCATTGTACATGCGTAACATTGGAGACACTACATTCTGTGGAAGTGTTGTATTTAAAAAGTAATGTTTAAACGTATATTTTATTTACAACACTTCTCTTTAACTTCAATTCTTGTTTGTCTGTCTGTCTATCTGCTACAAATCTTTTAATCAATATTTAACACACTTCTACTTATCCTATCGATCTGAAATTTTGCACACTGGCGTAAAGTTTGAAACAATGCATGAATCAAATGACCAAAATAAATAATTTTAAAAATTAAAAAATATTTTTTTTTCAATATTAAAAAAATTGAAAAAATAAATTTGTCAGCTATAAGTCTTATAATTGATATTAGACACACATTTACCTGTCCAATTGATCTGAAATTTTGCACACATGAAAAAAAAGTACCTACATATAAAAAAATTTAAAAGTTAATTTTTTCAATATTCGAAAATCAAGTGAGAAATTCATTGTGCATCTCTAACATTGGAGACACTGGATTCTCTAGAAGTGTTGTCTTTAAAAAGTATTTTTAAACGTATATTATTAAAAATGATTTTAAAATTTTTAACACGCAAAATAGCCAGAAACCACATTATTTTAGCTCAAAATTTTAAATTAAATAATGCTCATTTCGAATCAATTGACTATATATTTTTAATTTTGATATTAATATTTTTAACACGCAAATTAGCTAAAACCCCCATTATTTTATTGCAAAATTTTAGAGAAAATAATGCCAGTTTTAAATATAATTGAAATATATTTTCAAGGTTGATTATAATATTTTTAACGCGCAAAATAGACAAAACCCGTATTTTTTTAGCTCAAAAATTTAGAGAAAATAATGCCGTTTGTAAATAAATTGATTATGTGTACATAGTCAGAGCTGAATTTCCGGAGTTATGAATACTAATTGTCTAATTCTATTTTAGAAACGGCTGAACTGATAACCGTGAAACTATAACAGGCTTCTATCGCTTCAAAGTGAATAAATTTCTATATATGTGAGAACTTTCGAATTGAATTTCAGGAGTTATGAATACTAATTCTATTTTAGAAACGGCTGAACTGATACTCGTGAAATTATAACAGGCCTTCATCGCTTTAAAGTGAAAAATTCTAAATTTGCGAGAACTTTCGAGTTGAATTTTTGGAGTTATGAATTCTATTTAGAAATATGGCTGAACTGATTCTCGGGAAATTATAAAAAAACTTTTTAGAGTTTCAAAGTGTATAAATTTCTAGATTTGCAAAAACTTTCGAGTTGAATTTCAGGAGTTATGAATACTAATTCTATCCTAGAAACAGCTGAACTGGTTCTCGTGAAATTATGTTGTTGTTGTTGTATTTGTTGTTGGTGTTGTTGTTGTTGCTGGTGTTGGTGTCGTTGCTGGTGTTGTTGTTGTTGTAAACGGCTGAACTGATGCTCGTGAAATTATAACAGACTTTTTCCGCCTTAAAGTAAATTAGTTTCTAGGTTTGGAAAAAATTTCGAGTTTAATTGCAAAAGTTTTGAATTTTATTTCTATTTAAGAAACGGCTGAAATTACACTAATGAAATTATAACAGACTTTTTGCTGCTCTGAGGCGAATAAATTTCAAAGTTTCGGAGAAATTTTGAGTTGAATTTGTAAAAAAATATGAATACTAATTAAATTTTAGAAACGGCTGCACTGATGCTCGTGAGATTATAACAGATTTTTATCCGCTTTAAAGTGAATAAATTTCTAGGTTTGGGAGAACTTTGAGTTGAAGTTTAAAAGTTTTTAATATTAATTCTATTTTAGAAACAACTGAGCTGATACTCGTGAAATAATAAAAAAAAATTTGGCCACTTCAGAGTAAATAAATTTCTTGGTTTGGGAGAACTTGCGAGTTGAATTTAAAATTTTATGAATACTAATTCTATTTTAGAAACAGTTGATCTGATACTCGTGAAATTATGTTGTTGTTGTTCCTGGATTTTATTACGATATATTATTGTGGGCTTTCTCAAGACCACATTTGAGTTCTAAGTTTGTTCGCTCACTGATTTTCAACTGCTCATATTTCGTCGATTTTTCAGGACAAACTATAACATTTAAACACAATCTCGTGATACTTGATATAACATTCGTTCCGGCCAACCCGAAAGCATGAGTTGCTGAAGTTTACACTGGTACAATAAGGACAACGTTTCGTATGCTCCAATATGAATAATTTATTTTTTTTATGCTTTTGTTTTTGGATCAACATATGATGTTTTTGGATCAACAAATTTTATTGTTGTTGTGGAATTACGACGAATGTCTTAATATACGTTTAATTTATAATGATTGAAAAAACACCCAAACATTGCCCAATTTAACGTTCATGTTGCATTAGGAGACAGAAATGTGTTTTTATTAATAAATCTGGAACGTTGCCAGCTCCTAAACGGGATGGAAGGGCAGCTAAGGAAGATTGCTTTACAATATAGCTCTCTTGGTAGCAAGAAAAATTTCTAGTTTTCAGGATTTACGAAAACGGTTTGACAGGAATTCGTTTACTTCTCGGAAGGCACAATTAACCTAACCGAACTAGTACGGGTTAGATACAGTAAATAAAAGTTACAGTTATTTTCATGTTTTACCTTCCCTACATGGATGTCTACTTTAATCTACCAATCACAAAAATTATCCACTTATACATATAAAAAATCAGTCTTTTATTTGTATATATATGTGGATTACTTATGAGATTGGCAGATTAGAGTAGACATCCATGTAGGGAAGGTGAAATATAAAAATAACTGCGTAAAAATAACTGTAAGCAAACTGAAACATGAAAAAAATACCTGTAAGTTGTAACTGGTTACAACTTAACAAGTAACAACTAACATGTTGACACTAGTAACAGGCTGAGGATGACAACATTACACCGAAATCTTTCCTACCGTTTTATTCAGTAATTTATATTATGTATGCATCATGCTGGTTTTTAAATAATATTTAATACTAATAAGTAAAATCTAAAGGCTTTATCTATAAATGTAGCGGTAGCGCTGTAGCTGCAAAACCTCGTATCACTACTTAAATATGTAGCAGGCGCTACCGCTATCGCTACATTGCCTTAAATGTAGCGCCGCTACCGCTAATGAAAATGTAGCGCGCTACTGCCCACCTCTGCTAACAGGATTATTTATACCTCAAAACGTTTATAATTATTTGCATTGTGATTAATTTTTCCGTTGCTGACGTTTATTTCTCAAGCCCACATTTGAGTTCCAAGCTTGTTTGCTCACTGATTTTCTACTGCTGATATTTCCTCGGTATTTACGGACATACTATAACATTTATACGCAATCTCGCGTGATACGTTGTATAACATTCATTCCGCGCAACCCGAGAGCATGAGTTTCTGAAGTTTACATGAGTACAGGGACGACGTTTCGTATGCTTCAACATTAATACTTCTTTCTGATACATCAATGATGTTTTTGGATAAAAAATTTTACAAACATTAATATATTTTATTAAAATTAAATGCTGCTGGACAAGTTCAATGCCTGGATAAACTCAATTGAGGAAAATGCGAAAGTTAAACATTCCTGCATGAACGTACGCATAATTATGTTCAAGTCGTAGAGTCGGAGCCCTTAGGCGTAAGTAATCAGTAGTTAAGAAGGAAATACCAGAAGTGTAGGGCTTCTCCATAATTTGACGGACAGGTGCTTGTTAACTCACGCGCCTCGCGGACGAACACCGTCCGGGAATCACTGGCGGCAAGCATCAGTCATGATCGAGATGTCGCGAGTGAAGGTTTACTGCCATTGACTTCTGGTGAGCGAACAGAAGCATCTGCCGAAAGGCCTGATAAACGTTTCGGTATTTGTGCTTTCAGTTATAAATATGTTCGTTAAAGTGAATGTTGAAGTTTGTGCATTGACAGCAAATGACTCCTATAATTAGGTAAGTAGAACCCAAAGAAATTGATGCCGAATTGTAGCTGACAGGAAGCGCCTAACCACCAAGAGTTGAATCTTTTTTATATCATGCCTGGTGAAGTGGTGTCAGTCAGCCTACCCAGTAACACATTACCTTACTTCTTCCATCAACACTTGAATATTCTTTTTATTATGAAGATACATGGTGACATTCGTATGATAGCTTTCGAGTGTTCTTTCTCGTCTCTTTTCGTTCAGTGGAGAGTTAACCCCACAATAATTGTTCAATACTGCAACTGCATCATCCCATTATGATTATGACGGAAGACACGAAACGTGATAGTTTTTGTAGTTGTAGTTGTGAAAAGTTGCGGTTCACCGTAATATAAGATTTAATAAGTTATCAATTCAAACGCATATCGTAAGTTTAATTAATGGTAAATTTAAATCGTCAGCTTAAAATTAAATGGGCGTCAAATAAATGTGGTGCGGTGCGGAATGGATTCAGGTCACGAAACCCGCATAAAATTTCTTGACTCTTCGACTTAATTGTAAAATCAGTTGTTTAAATTTGTTCAGTTTACAATGCTCTCACATTAAAATATTAGCTTATGTAGCATAGAAGATAAGATAGTATTTACGATATGTATTTATACCTACTAATATTCCGTAGGTGAGAACTGCTTGCCAACTAGTGATGCATGCACAAAGCTAACCCATGCTATCCAATACCTATCGTACAGTGGGTTCGAATGCCCGAGAACTTGTCGTTGCCCGAACTTGATCTTAGATTTATGTACAAGTTTGTATTATTTTCAGTAAAATAATGCGCGTTCACTGTACGTACTACGTACTGACCTGGGTTTATTTATTGAAATAAAATTAAAATGAATAGGTACACTGGATGAGTGGATGTTATCGACAAATATGGTTAGGTGAGGCAACAGCTTCTTCGATGTTCGGCGTGATCGTATTCCATCAATTATCTAAATAGGTGTTCCCAATATAAGCCGAGTTGCTGCGAAATTTGGAATGCCTAATTATTTGGTATTACATCATAATTACTGCGTAATTTGGTATGCTCTAGTTTAGTTACGCCGTGATGTTCAAGTAATCTAGTTAGTTACGCCACAATTAACTAGAACTAATTTGCCGCTGACCTTACTACAATAAATCAAATTTTACCATACTCATAACAACAACATGCCTGATTTTTTAATATCTAACTACAAGTATCTAATTTTTTTATATCTAACTACAACGTACCTAATTTTTTCGCATCTAACTACAACATACCTAATTTTTTCATATCTAACCACAACATGCTAATTTTTCCATTCATAACAACAAAATTCATAATTTCGGCACAGCTAATTACAGAATACCAACCAAATTACAGCCTACCCTTCAGTGCCCTTCTGGCGTAGGGGCGCCGTGCCCAGTAGTGCCCTGCTGGCGTAGGGGCGCCGTGCCCAGTAGTGCCCTGCTGGCGTAGGGGCGCCGTGCCCAGTAGTGCCCTGTTGGCGTAGGAACGCCTTGCTTGTTTTTCGCCTCGTGATCTGGGCCGGTGTTTACAGCTGACCCCGATTTATGTTCCGTTATCTTTTTATGAGACCAGCCTGGCCTGCTGATGAACCATTAACTGGCCTGCTAAGCCCCATTGGTGGGCTACTAAGCATCTTTATCCACCGGTTACTTAACTGATGTTTGCCTTCGATTATATAAACTGCTGTGGTCCGTGCAGTTATACTACCACGTGTGATTCCAGCTGATTTTGCTTCGAATATTTCATGCTATTATGGGCAGACCAGCTGATGCTGACCTCCTATTACTAGGCTCGGGGCGACGGTCGCATCTGCTGGTGAGCTGTGGAACTGCCGGGACTCGTACATGTCGCTCTGTCCCTTGTATCTTTATTGGTGTTCTTTGTATATTTATTTGTGCTATTGCCCGTATATTTATTATTATTTTATGTATGGTTATTGTTGCTGTCTGTTAATTCATTACTGGTGTCCGTGTTTTTATTCTCATGTCGTTCGCTATTATTTGTCTCCGTCATTTCGTTGCATGTTCTTTTTTGCTAAAATTTCGTTGGCTCAGTTTTTTGGGCCAATCTTCTTATATTGCCCTTTATCTTCTATAAATTTTATTCTGCTTTCATTGTTTCAGCCCTCTCTCCCGTTTATAATTTAGTTTGTCTATTGATATGTTTCCATTTTGCATACCTACCTATTTTGGCGTTAAAATTATTTCGTGCTATTTATTTAATTTCTAACATTTTTCTCTGGCGATTGCTCTCTTGGATCTTTTATTACATGATGCTGATAAAAATCAGCATCTGCCTCCTTCGCTAGTCTCCATCTCGCTTGTGGTGTTTGACGTGAGCGACCTCTTCTTATTCTCTTCTCTGACCGACGTTGTCTCTCGTACGGAGGTAGGGTGTGATGCCATGTAAACTAGCGCCGGCACTTGTTTCTGGCAATTAAAAATCACTTCTCAGGTTATCTGGTCAATTATTGTCTACAGTACTACGAGTACATGACTTGTGCTTTTAAATAGTCGTTCCCCGTCTGTATATTTCGTTGCGAGGTCACATGTGCGAGCACTAACGTGATTGCTAAAAATAGTCTACCGTTTTTTAACAAAATTTATTATCTTAGTTCGTTATATGCGTTACCGTATTAGCATTCGTCCGTGAGTCTGTAGCCATTTTTATTTGTTCTTTTGGGTGTATGCTACTATCACACATCTTTTTTGATTCAGTTGTAAAATAGTTTTAGTTATCGAAATTCACATCTAAGGTTCCAAATACCCCACTGGTCTTTGCCTTCAGAGTTATAATTTGATGTAACTTTATGCTCGTGTGGATGTTAGGCTGGTGGTGAACAACCAAGTCCTCATGAACGCATGAAGAAGTGAGAGCGCCAACCTCCTTGTTATATTGGGTCAAGTTACCTCCGTATATAGTTTCTTAACAGTCGAGATATACTTTTTTTTGCGCTCTCAATTAACGACATCCTTTTGAAAAATAATATATAAGTTGTATTTTTTGAAGAGATTGGGTCAAAATTGATTTCGACCAATTTCGAAATGAAATTTTAGAAAGTTTAATTGATGAATTGCAAAATACTGCTCCGAGCTGCACATCAGTGATGGAGCAGATGAAAAATAGAAATATTTTGTAAATAAATAGAGAATTGCTTTTTACATAAACTTACGCCGCATTTCCTCTTTAGCGAATTTCGATACGACAGAAGTTTTTGCTAACTGCGTCACGCGTCGCGCGTTTATAGAATCATAACAATCTTTCTCAATCATTAGTTGCTGATTACCTAAGTTGATTATGAAACAGCTGCTATGCCATGAAGTGTTGATGCATTTCATCCATTATACGTAGTATTTATAAAGAGATTTGTTGATAAATATCAGACAATACTTTTGTGTGTCTCTTATGTGAAGTTGAGTAACTGGAGTATATGTGACATTGAAGAAAGCATTAGTGCAGGAATGAGCCTGTATAATCGCCTCATAGAAAACGATTTATGTGGAAAAACTTGAACGATTTTTGTGTAGAAAACGAGTTTTTCAGGTAGGACCATAATGTATACGTGGTCATGGCTCGAATTCATGCGTCATTGAAGATTTGATTCATCGTGGTTTTTAAGCAAGACAATAATGAATGTTCAATTTTTAGAAATAAATTTTTTTCAATTAATTATGAAGTATTTCGATTCGGAAGTAAGAAGTATCGTATATAATTATAATGTCATGCAAATTCAAAGTAAATAAATACATACCTACTATTGCCATCGATAGATATTCTTGTATGAATCCTCTCTAACCCAGTTAATCACTTATATTTGTGGTTCATCTTTAACGAGGGAAATGTTTTGGTCAACTATATAGTTAGACTTGCATCACATGAGTACCGTGCCGGTCCCGCATGATTGAGCGCAAAAAAATCGTTGTCTTGGTAACTTGCCATGTTGGTATGCGGGTTCCTGACAAGAGTCTCATCGATAAATCATGTAAACTTTGATATATTTCGGGAAATTTCTGTTCGTGTTTGTATTTTGTTTGCTCGAGTTTTACACAGCGTCGTGGCGGTGTGTCTGCGTGGCACACAAGACCCGCCGTAGCGTCGTTCCATGGAGATCATAGTGAGCGGGCAGCTTTAATATTTGGCCATGAGTTCAAAGCGCAGCAAAAACAATACTTCTCTATCAAAAATCTCCGCCGAAGCACTTTAAATTTAATAGCTTTTCCAATTGAAAGACAGTTTCGGCGCCTTTGATCATGTAACTTTATTCGTGTTGACATGCTTGCACCAGTCTTGTGCTGCTCTGTTATTAAACCACAATGCTGGCGTGGTCTGGTATATTACACACACCTCCTTGCAGGTGGTCCATCGATCAATTGAATTATATCTTTGTATATTGTTCATGAATTTAGGTATGATAAGAATGTTTACTAGCTCAACGTCGCCCCTTATCATCAGAGTTTCTTTTTTACGACCCATGTTGACGAGGCGTTTACGACCAAGATGTTGTCGGGAGGTTTTTCAGTGCGGGACACATGTCAGCTGCCCGCCCTAAACAATTTAATCATAAAACCTTGAGTCTATTTAGTAATCTAAATCTGGTATATTACCACCCTATCTTCACATTTGTTTTCTGTGAATTTTGTCCACTGTTACATTAGCTTTAGTTAATAGCCTCGGCAGTAAAACAAGATAAAGGGATCCTTCGTTTCAGTGAACAAATAGTGAGCGTTTCAATGCTCATACTTTTTTAACCATGTTTAATGGTGGCTCAAAGTCGATGGCATATCCTGATCTCGCTGGAATTCTCAAGCTTGTTCACATTAATTTTCACGAATAAAATTTTCCATCGTAAAACGTTATGGTACAATGCAGGAAATGCTTGTTCCAGCATTTTGCTTCAAATGAGCGAAAATACGGAATCCGAAGCCATGTTTCCAAGGAAAAGCAACCCCGGTTACATGTACCGCGTCCGTTGTATTCTAAACACGAGGCCTCAAGCCTCGGCGTGTGCTGTGAACAAACAGAAGCACTCACGCTGAACTCCTGCTTTTTTCCGTCCGAACGCAATTGTTCATTTATGATTAACGGGAGTTTTTCTTAACAGGCAGCCGAAGTGCCTTTCTTTTTCGAATTATTACCTTATTTATTTCTCATGAATAAAGGGACATGATCTTCAGTTGATGTGTTCAAAGTTTTTTACTATCAATGATATTTATATTTTTAATTTTCGGGTTAACATTTGTATTTTTTTGGGTATTCAATTCGGTATCATTATTTGCTCTCGAAATGACTGTGCTGATTCGAGAGAAAATTAAAATGGTAAAACCTGCTCGATCGTCAGAGTTTCTTAGTTATTTCGAACGGTAAAACGGAAATTCATACCATAAATATTTAAAAAGTAACTTTTTTAATAATTACTACTTGTGTTGAATTTCGAAGCATTTGATTCATCATCTATTTTATTAATACTTGTATGATCATCGAATNTATATTATATTATATTATTTTATATTGCATTACATTATATTACATTATATTATAATTCAATCAGACTCCTCCAGCTATGATCACTCTAAGCACTCTGACGTGGCATGCACAGTACAACACCCTGAGTATGTAAGGCACCGAGCGTCGACTCTTCACCACGGTATTGATATGGTCACGTAGGCGATAGCTATGCAGCCTCGCAGCCTTCTAACCTTGCGTATGCAGCAGCACGAAACGCATGTAAAAAACACCGCCTGTAAAATGCATGCAAGAAACCTTGCATGCAAAATGCATAAAAAACGCTGCTTAAAATATCACTGCAATAAAATCATGTTAGAATCGTCGCGCAAGTGATGTACGTAATAAATTCGTCGCATGTAAAATTTACGTGTAAACCAATTATAATTAACTTCCCTAAGGACACAACGTAAAAAGATTTCGTTCCGTTCCTCAATCAACTTGATAAAAATCATAGACAGTTTTTAAGGGCCAACCTTCGGTAAACCACGCAAATAACTTGTCTGTGATCTTTTAAAGGCATTCCTTCCTTTTAAAGGTATTGCGCCATGTACCTCCGTTGCTTTGTGTCCTTTCAAAACTCTCAGAAGGATCGACTCGCAGTCGAGAAAAAATGTTTCCCCTAAATTATTTATTGTTTTTTAATTTCATATTTGGTATTGTAAGTTTTAAAAATATACGTTCAACAGTGAATGGTTGTGATTTCCTTTGTTATGAACTGAAGAGATTAGTTTGATTGTAGTATAATTCTCTCATACTCCAATACTTGCAACTACTAAATTATCGTTCATGTCTGTGATGTCATCTTCCTTTTCGAGCATCGAGAACCCTATCTCCCATTCATCTCCACGAATTTGGCCCCTAAAAACTACCTAAGCTGGAAATCGTAAGCCTCTGCCCATCAATCAACTGTTTGTCTGCCACAATTGATGATTTGTTTCTCTGCAACAATTCATTAACTGGTCATCTATCACAATTAATCATTAATTAATTATTGTCTTCTGATTTCGTGGCATTATTGAGCAAGGACGTGGACGTGTAGAGAGCATGGGTGGTCAAAGGATGAATGCGGGGCTTGCTCACTAACAGCTGATGCCTGATGAACTGCTGAATCGCGCATGCGTTCAGTGTTCAATCCTGCTATCTCAGTTGCGATTTTCTTGAAAACAAATTGATAATCATATTTGACCATGTTTCATTTCAAACAAAGTAAGAATCTAGTCTGGTTTGATGTCAACCGTGGCATTTCATAATTGCATGAATGTAGATAAATGAACGGCACTTACAATGCCAGAATTTCCATCGCATCCTCGTGAGCCGCGTCTGTCAGTGCCGCGGTGGCAGCGGTAGTGGTAGGTTGTGTGTGCGTTGCGCGTGCAAGTTCCCGAAAGCGCGACTGCAAAACCGTCCCTGTAACGTGTATTGATCAAACCTCAACTAATGTTAGGGTTTCTTTGATCCTATTGCTTAAGAGGTAATTAAATTTCTTTCGTATTATGCGTAATAAGAAGGCTAAATATATTATCAGTTACACCACAATTATTTTCACCAAGATTAGCTTAGCCCGACCATATTTGTGGAAGGAAACACGGGCTGTGAATGTTCATGAAACTTTAGTTTTACGAACAAATTCATGTAACGCAATGTGGAGTTTGTAAACGCAGTGCTAACGCCCGTGCGTCGCAACATCGCCATGGCGATATCAGTCGCTATCGATCGCGATAAGGATGGCAACGGCCGGCGTGCAACTTGGAAGTTCATCGTAGTCTCTTTCTCTCATTATCGTCAGAGGTTGACGATAGTCAACGCTTAATTATTATGTTATAGAACTCATCCCATTTGAGTATCAGAACTAATTGAAGTGAATCAAAGGTGGATGTCAGAACGTGAAATTAGGGTGGAACCTAACAACTGTAGTGACTTTTTTTCAGCATTACTGATGGAATTTGACTTCAAGTTTGCCTATTATTCATCCTTCGGTTCGCAACTCCCATGGCGCTTTTGAAAATCCCTTATTTATAACGATTATTTGCTCCAACTTATCAGCTAGGTGCCCTGTCGATCCCGATTCATGATTGATGGTACGTAGATTAATTTTTAACTTTCTTTATTAAATTAATATTTACCGCCCAACATAATTCAACGACCATCCCACCACTAATTCCACTGTGACAAAAATCTGTTTTTTTTCCGTGTGTATACATACCGTACTCTCAAATACTAGTTAAATTTATTAAAAGGCGAGATTGAAATTGTGTATCCTAAAAATACTAAAATTAATATTCCAGCCTAGATTGGCAGTCAGTGGGGTTTAAACCTAATTGATCGTACCCCCCTTATAAAATATTCATGATGGTAACCTGCTGGAATTTGGATGTTCATTCTATGCCGTGACTGGTTGTTAGGTTTCAGGAGAAAATCGCATTTTCTTTAAACTGGAACCGCTACCGGAGTGTCAGTTTTATTCGGAATTCGGGGACTAATTAGTGGGCGAAATATTGCTTTCAGACGTTCTTGGTAGGATGGGACGAGTGCATTGAGCGCGTTCAATTTTTCCGCCACTGAGAAACTCTCCAGGATAATATCCATTTTTAATTCGGGTAGTATTTGATGGGTATTTCTTAGCTAATAGAGATTAATAATTTAAATTAATTCCCTTTTGTTGGAATGGTGAGTGTGGGAGACCTTTTTAAAAAAAAATAGATTTTAAACAAGGGCACACGTTGATGCGAAATGCAACTTCTCCTTTTCACAACTAAGTGTACAATTCTAGTACTTGTAGGAAAGACCTAAGCTGTTTTTATAGTTCTTTAAGCAAACGATAATTGACACGCGTTTCGTTGGACTTGAAACTGTTACTCTTGGAATAAACTCCATCTAGCATTTTTATCAATTTCTTTCTCTAGTCCCATTTTTCATCTTGTAGGCTGAAAGAAATCTAAGAAATGTATCCTTTCATTATTAATTACTATGAAATATTTATTTATTAATCGAGGTCTGTGTGGCATTCATTACATTAAAATCTTGTCAATTTTTTTCTGTCTCGGTATATTTTTCATCTTGAGTGAGAAACTTTCGATTCTGAATTTTTTTTCTCGCGGATCTCAGCGTCTGAATAAAAAAATACGTTAATAGACAGACGTCTTTTCGTGTTACATGGTTTCACTTGTTGTGAATTTTTCGATAAATTATTCAATGAATCCTAAAGAAAAACAATAATGAATTATCGATAGAATTCATTCGCTTTCTTTACTCTGAGATTTTCAGCAAAATCACGTAGGACTGCAATATTACTCTTTGGCTTTCACTGCATATAGTTCATCTATGATGATAAAAAATCTAGATATAGTCTTAAAAAAGTTTTACGCTTAAAATTTAAAGCTGTAATTTTCCTATTCACTACAATTAGATTATATTCTCCTACCGTAATTTCACTTGTTGTTATCTATAAAGTCCAAACTTAATAAGTTACAGCCACTTATTTAATCTAGTATCATAATCCTTATAAGAAAAATCAAGTCTGTTTCTTAGCGATATTTTCGTTGTGACGAGACAGTGAATAGTCAAATCTCAGATTAAAGACCCACTAACTTATAAATTTTTAACATAGCGCCATGCTATTTAGTAGGCTATAAACTGCATACCTGCTATCCGAATTTTAATAAAACCTCCTTTCATTGAATTATACAAAAAATTGAACAAACTCTCATTTGAGAGTAATAAATATGTCAAGCGATTGATTTGCCCTCATATTTTTGACCTGTGCAGATTCACTAGTGATGTGACGATGTCAGAAAATAGTCAATGAGAGTGTAGTGTTGGGCGGTATCAGTGCTACCTGACACCTAATCAGCCTGGGCACGGCGCTGCCAGACTTCACACCGCTTCAGTTCAGTGTGAGTGCTAACTTCTTTACATACATTCTTTCACATATTATTGTGTGTATTGTATTAATTCTGTTATTACACATATTATTGCGTGTATTGTATGAATTCTGTTATTAATGATGTCTGTTGATAAGAGGTTGGTCATCAATTTGACTAAAAAGCTCCCTCAGAAGTCTGAAGTTTTCATGATTTGCATGCTTCATTATGCGCCGTATAATATGATCTAGCTACGACTTAGCGACTTGGCTACATGTTTCAGTGTACAGAGTGTAACGAGTGTACTGCATTAGTCGCACGCTGCATGCGCCCAGCGACGCTTTCATGATACACGCCTACACTGCAGCGGCTACACGGTACACGCGTGTCCAGCAGCGGCTACACGGTACACGTGTGGAGCAGCGGCTACACGGTACACGTGTGGAGCAGCGGCTACACTGTACACGTGTGAATAGCAGCGGTTACACGGTAGTTACTCGTGCAAAAATAGGCGTAGTAGTGCAGGTGTTTTAACACCTGTCCTGGGTTCACACCTGCAACTACCCTTGTTGTTGGAGCGCGCTGGATCAGTTCCACTTGGAATAGACATGTTTATTGCGTTTTTTGATGTTATAAGAAACCATGTATGAATTCAACTTGATTTTAACTTGATAAGTAATACGTATATATAGTACGATAAGTATCATATCTAGGTATGATATTCACACATAAAAGGAGGAGTATGATATGCGCCATCTAACTAGGGGCTTTAATTATTTAGATATGTACAATGTACACGTGTACAATTCCCACTTGACTTTAATTGGATATGAATAGTTCTTATTTGAATTTCTTGAGTTATGCATAGTTCCTGTTTGTCTTTGATTAGCTATATCATTCAGCTCTAAGGCCTACGTTCTTTATACGGTTATTTAAATTCACTCCTGAATTAAAAATCAAATGGCACGCTTTAAATTGATAATTCTTATTTATGACCATGGCAGAAATCCGAAAATTTGAATTTGATTTCTCATCACAAAAAAGTCACGTGCTATCAAATAGGAAACTTTTTAGTTTTCATCGTGAATGCATTTGTTTGGATCCCGTATCTCTGTATCTTGAAAATGGAATTTGGAGACTGTGGTGCGGATTAAATGAGAGGTTGAAGCAAATCGTTTAGGATTTGAATGTTGAAATCATTATCAGTGCAACAGTTAGTAAATTTTTGTTATTAATTATATGAGTTCTTATAGTCATGGATACGAGTTTGTTATACTTTTCTCACGTTTTTCTCTTCTTAGGGAATTTTAGGGCTATGTTGGAGTTCAGTATCATTATGTTCTGCATTATATTATGTTGTGTTAATTTAATTAATTTTCCAGCTAGTCCTGATTATCTAATCCGCGCTATTTTTCTTCACATTTATTTAGATATTGGCTTACGCATGCATCCTGTCTCAGCATCGGCATCCTGCTGTTGCGATAAGCATCCTTTTTATGTCCACCACGCTGTCCTTTATGGTCTACCTAAAGCAGTTAAATGGTACAGTTGTAGTTAATATTGAAAATTTCTCTTGATCGGCAACCATACTTCTCATCTCGGGGCATTCATTTGCTTATTATTTGCAGCTCTCACATGCGCTGTGGTCGATGTGTATTGAGCTAGGTTGACGATCAAATGCGTTGGCAATTCCCCTTCACTATCTTAATGAGCGATGCGTGTTCAAACCCTTTCATTTCACTTTCGGACAGATCAATTATTGTTGGATTTGTAAGCTCAGAAATGACTTGCTAAAAGTTTAATTATTTAATGGAACTTGAGCGTGGGAGAACCATTTTGCTCGACGATGTATTGACATTCTGTCTGGTCAAAAAATGATTTGAATTATAATGTATCATGAATCTTTCAAATTTTGATTTGATATAAGTGTGCGAAAATACTCCTGATCATAGGAAGTATTCAAAGATGTGTTAGTGCGTGTTGATGGACTCTTCATTTCTTCCGATTGTGACGTTGGGGATCATTTTCGGCAAGTCTTCATTCAAGTTTACCTCCTGAGCGTTTGTTTCTCTGATTATTGACTTATTTGTTTTACCCTTCTGTGCAGTTTTTAAAACGTCATTGAAAAATTTATTGATGCGTTTTCTTTGCGTATGACACTGATCAAGTCTTGTTTCCTTCGACCAATTTTTTTAATTTTTGATTTCGCTTTGCGAATCAACAATGCAGGTGATTGAATGTAGCACAGTTTATGAAGACTTCATTTTAACTTTTCAATACCTCATTACAGCCTAATAACACTGTCATAATTATTAATCCTAAACTATTTGTACCCTTTCACCTTTTGTAATACAATCTAGCCCGACGCGACGCTAATCAGCGCGGATCGAATTTCTTCGTGCGTGATGGCGAGGTTTGATCGAAGGCAGCGACGGCATATTCGTGTCATTCCCTTCCATTATTTCCGTCCTAGTAATAAAATGAACCACCATTTAGCCATCATATTATTGCCGTTCAGGTGTTCTAGTACGTGTTACCGGTGAAACATTAATTTATTTTTTTCATGAAGTTAGATTCTTCCGGTCGAATTATCTTTTCCGTATGATGATTTTAATGTAAAAATTACACTGACATGATGAATTTAATCTGATTATGTGGTGTGACGATTTAAATTGTTTCCTATGTAATTAATTTCGCAGAGTTATCAGTTTTTTCATTATTTTTTACGTAATAAAGAGTTTGCCTTTGTTTTGAAGCCCTTAAATAAATGATGCTTATTCCATTAGCCGTCAAATTATGAATAGCTGTGAACATCGCAATGAAACTTTGCCTTGCTACGCCAGCAGCATCCTTCAGTTACAAACACTCCCCTATGGAGTGAATTTATTTAGTCGCCCTTATTGTCCCGTCCTCGACGAGTTCCTTGCTTATCGTAATTGATGCCTGCATGTAATGCACTTCTTGTCAATCCTGGCAATTTAAGTAGGATTATGGCCGTCGCTTCTGCGGGAGTTGAATGGCCACCGATAAACCGCCTTTGTTTCGCCCTAATGGTGATCTTGTCATGCGCGTCCTCGCAGGATGTCCGTCGTTGCCGCGGCAATTGATGCTCTGTGTGCTCTGTGTTCACACAGCGTGTCTGTGTGGACTCCTGTTGTGTCCTGTGTGCCTGGCCTGCAGATATTGTAACTCTGTCAGGTCTGTGTCCACACAGCGTGCCTGTGTGGACTCCAATTGTGTCCTGTGTGTCTGGCTTGCAGAGATTGTAACTCTGTGAGCTCTGTGTTCACACAGCGTGTCTGTGTGGCTTGTTGTGTCCTGTGTGTCTGGCCTGAAGAGATTGTTGCTCTGTGAGCTCTGTGTCCACACAGTGTGTCCAGTGTGTCTGTGTGAACTCCTGTTGTGTCCTGTGTGTCTGGCCACACAGCGTGTCTGTGTGGACTCCTGTTGTGTCCTGTGTGTCTGGCCTGAAGAGATTGTTGCTCTGTAAGCTCTGTGTCCACACAACTTGTCTGTGTGGGCTCCTGTTGTGTCCTGTGTGCCTAGCCCACAGATATTATTACAATGCGAGTTCTGTGTTCATGGTGTGTGGTGTATCGTACCCATGTTATTCCTTCATTAAGTATATTTTATCTCTGTAGTCTGTCGCTACAACATAAATTTCAAAGATAATAGAAGCACCGACAAATCCTCGCTCTTGATAACTTTAAAAAGCTGATTAATGCACCGAGCTGGTAAATGCACCGAGCTGATAAATGCACTCCTCGCTATTTTATAACTTTTAGAGCTGTTAAAACTACCGAGAATTCTTTGCTGCACAATAAATTATATTTTCAATGGTAATAATTGAAGTGCCCTGAGAACTCGCTATGACATAACTTGTAACGCTAGTGGGCACCGAGAACACCTCACTGCAAAATAATCTTTATCGCTCATTAAAGTGCCGAGAATTCGTCTCAATGTAAAAAGGGCACAGAGAACTCGCCATGACGCAACTTGAAACCTATTAAAGGCACCGAGAACATCTCACTGCAAAATAATATTTAACGCTCATTAAAGCACCGAGAATTCGTCTCAATGTAATTTTCAAAGCTAAAAAGGGCACAGAGAACTCGCCATGACGTAACTTAAAACTTAGTAAAGACGCCGAGAAATCATCGCTACAAAATAATATTCAAAGCTCATTAAAGGATCTTTAAAGGATTTTTGCCGTAAAATACGAGGATATTTTAAAGCTCATAACAGTTCCAAGAATTCCTCGCTAAAAATGATAGTCAACGCTAATAAAAGCACCGGGAACTGCTCGCTATAAACTAAAGTAACTTTCAATTCGCCTAAAAGCGTCGTGGAGTGCTCGGTGTGAAGTGATCTGTATCATCGGTAATGACACTGAAAATTGCTCGCTAGTGAGTATTTTATCATGGAGGTCAAAGCACTACATTATATTACTAGCTCTAAAGTGACTCGGACCTCAACGAACGAACTGAAAATCTGTCATTATCAATAAGCTTTTAGATCTTGAAAAGCTTTTGTGAGAACATGTGTCGTAAAATATATTGCTGTACCACGTGCTTAAAAACAACTCATTACAAATGACCTTGAAAACCTACCAAAGAAACACCTCCAAAATCTTATGAAAATATTATTACGCAGTTATAAATCCATAAAATTATCCTTTATGGATTATATTTCAATCTTTGTATAAGCACGACCTCTACAATAATCAACTCATAACACTAATCTCATGAATGAAAATGGCTCGTTTTGAATGAATTCCTGGAAGTAATTGAAGCACCGAAAAAAAAGACTCTTCATACAACTCGTAGAGTCAGTAGGCTCACTGTGAGTTCGCCTTGTAAATGATTATTTTTTATATAATATAATTTCTCACGAGGCAGCTTATAGTGAAGTAACTTGAAAGCGTTTAACGCTAACGCTGGATCTGAAAAATTCATCCATACAAGGTGAGGAAGAAGATCTTGGTCATGTGAACGTAAATTTGTGAACTCCGTCGTCCGTTGGGCTGCCGATGTCCTTAAAGCTGACGTTCCCCTGCACCTGGTCGATATCCCGCAGGGGTGCGCTGCATGCTGCTGCTGTGAGGGCTGCTTCTGCTGCGGAAAACTGCTTCTGTAGGAGGTGCTGCTGCTGCTGCTGAGGAGGAGTCTTGCTGCTGTAAGGACGGCTGGTACAGGGCAGTTTTGCTGCTGTAAGGACTGCTGCTGCTGAGGAGTTTTGCTGCTGTAAAGAGTGCTGCTGCTGATAGGGAAGCTGCGGCTCCGAGCGGTGATGATGCTCCACGAGGATGTTCATACTTCTGTAAGAGGTTTTGCTGCTGCAGAGGGGCTGCTGATAAAAGATACATACTTTTACTGTAGGAGGTGTTGCCGCTGCAGAGGTGCTGCTGTTGTTGTTGTTGTGGTTCGTCGGTCTCATTTTTACAGAGACCAAGATGGTGCTGCTGTTGCAGATGGTGCTGCTGTTGCAGATGATGCTGCTGTTGCAGATGAGTGCTGCTGTTGCAGATGGTGCTGCTGTTGCAGATGGTGCTGCTGTTGCAGATAGTGCTACTGCTGCAAGAAGTAGGCTGTATAGCGATCGTTTGTGTTCCTACCATCAGAATATTTAATTTAACATTTACAAAGCCTTCAAGACCCATCGACCGACATTCCATTTCCCAATTTTACTTTCTGGCGGTACTTATTAAACTTCCAGTGCTTTTCAACACGTTAAGAATGTTGGCCAAAAAACGTATTCTTTGTTGAATCATGGTAACGATGCCATCAAGTCCAATGTATTAGGGCTATCAACAGGATTTTATTTATATATCATGACTTATATATCATGAGTAATTTCCTACAGTGCACTGACATCGAATGTATCCTTTGCTTATCGTAAAGGATATGGTCCGGAGTTGGTCTTTACTGCCATCAGGGAGCAAATCGTGTCGCTGCCAGTCCTTGCATATGCGATTATGTGGACCAGCAGACCACAAGAAGCAGCCAAAACAAAGCGCGTTTGTTCGCAAATACCGAAGCTGATTATAGCTAAACGTCGTAGGCACATTGTCGGCACCAATTTGCCAGTTCGGATGTGTTCATTTTAATTATGTGTCACGTATTTCTCAGTAATAAAAATTACGTGTTTAATGGTAATCTGTTATGTATTTGCTGAATCTATGATTGATAGCCGATTTATTTGATCCATTTGCTATTTCGTGATGCATTTTGCAGGAATGATGTGCTCAACAGCCAACCATTATTTTCATGGACCCTTTCTATAACCCCATCACTATTTTCAGCTCTTGTATTGCTAAGCGTTTGTTTTCTATGTGCAGCGACGATGGCAGGAGAGCGGTAGCAGCGGCTAATAACGCAGCCATGCCCCGCGTGTCGCTCCGCCGCGCCTTCTTCTACTTCGGGGTGGTGGCGTGCGTGTCTCTGCTGCTGGTGGTTGTCCATTCCCCCAGCAGGAGCTTCTTCCCCGTAACTGGGGCTCGACGCCCGTCTGGGTTCCCTGAACGCCCCGTACTTCTACTGGGGGATGATCAACAGCCTGAAGGTGCGCTGGGCACAGCGCTAGACCCGCGCGTTTACAACGAAGTCCCTCTGTCCAAGGAACAACCCGGCGCCATTGTAGAAAATCCAAGCAAAAATGAAGTGGATAGTTCAGATTTCGCTCGACTTTTTATACGCGAGGAGCCCACGGCAGCGGTCCCCGCAAACTACACGCCCTTGCTGCCCCATCAAAGACCCTGGTTCATGAAGGGCGGACAGAAGCTCCCAGAGCCAAGTGTTCTCGGTCATCGAAAACTCCTCTTGTGGCCCGACGAGGACCACGGCGACCGCATCCCCGCACAGCTCATGTACAAGCCTCCCGAACTTCCTCCAATGTACGCTGACCATCCAGACGTTGGAGGCGACGTAGAAAAATCCCAGCCAGCACTCAAAAAGATTCTCATGTACAACGGCATGAATTCTTGGGGTATGAAGGCTGGTCGCGGTCACTTCATGAAGCTCAAATGCCCAGTGGACACATGCGTTCTAACTGGGACGCGTTCAGAATTATCTTCCTCCGACGCGGTCGTTTTTAAAGACCACTTCAGTGATCCCCACGAGACAAGGGATCCAAACCAAGTGTGGATCATGTACATGTTGGAATGTCCACTTCATACGCAGCATTTTTCACACGGAAATGTTTTTAATTGGACAGCGACGTATCGCCACGACAGCGACTTAGTTGCTCCGTACGAGCGCTATATGTACCATGATCCGGTGATCCGACAAATGAACCAAACAGTGAACTATGCGGCCGGCAAGTCAAAGCAAGTGGCGTGGTTCGTCTCTAACTGCGGGGCTCGCAACAACAGACTGCAGTATGCAAAGGTGAGGACTGTCGTATAACATATAGAATAGAATAGAAGGGTCGGCTTTTAAGAAATAGGCCCATGGCCTGTTGCCGATTCATGTACTTTTCGTGACAATTGATTCACAAGCCGGCCTTTGGAAATTCTTTGGAAGAATAGCTTATACCAGTGTCGTATTATAAGCAGAGATCTAAGAGGGATTATGCACGGGGATGACGCGGGCTGGGATGGTCTCTTCTCCTACATATAATAATATTATTTTGTAGTTATTGGCATCACTTAGGCAAGCAGGTCTAAGTCCCTGGTATGTTCGCTAGCTTTGCCACTGTGAGCAGCGTCATGGCTAGAGAAAAATATACAACAAAATTTCCTTTGGTATTTTGTTATTCCTTTGAGTGCAGCCAATTTTTACAGTCAAAGTGCCAACTAACATTCAACTTAGTAATTGACTTCACGAATAAACCGTGTAGGCAAAAAGAGGTACACTAACCTCGTCAGTGAACATACCAAAAGACTATGTTCACCTTATTGTTCAGGTCGATCATCAATTCAGGTCGATCATCAGGAAACAGTATCAATCATGTTAATTAACTTGACATGGAGTTAATTAACTTAACTTTCATCCCGTCAAGAAACTAATTATTAAGCTTGGGTTAACCTTATAAATTGATTCATTTGGAATTATATCTACCTTGTCAATTAACCCAACTTCATTAATATTATCAATTAACTTTATTATGTAACTCGATTAACCAATTGGAATTTACATTAATATTATCACTTGACCCTATCTATCAATTAACCAATCTTGAATTTTGAATTTACATTCATCGTGTCAATTAACCTGATTAGGCAGCTATTACCATCAAAATGACCCAGGAATAGATTTAAAAAGCAAATCCTAACACGATTTTACGCAGATCTACGTGTATGAGGAAGGGGCCATACCGCCATACTTTCAAAATTCTCTAAGTGAACGTATGTACTTACGCTCTATTTTCTTGTCTATGGTGGATTTTGCTTGAAAGGCCGTTAATGAATGGCTGATGAACTTACGATCTCTTAACTTTTTTTGAAAGTATTGGCCCCAGATCTATGTATCAAATTTAAACTTATCCCAGCAACCCAACAGGAACTAGGCCGGTATATCGGCGTTGACATCTACGGCGCGTGCGGCACAAAGCGCTGTCCGCGCTCCAGCTCGACGCGCTGCTTCGACATGCTCAACCGCGACTACAAGTTCTACCTCGCCTTCGAGAACTCCAACTGCAGGGACTACATCACGGAGAAGTTCTTCGTCAATGGTCTAAGGTGAGTTCTGCTTTATTTTTAGAATTGAGTTCATGGTTGCTTGTTTGCCTCAACTTATTTTTATTCGTATTTAAAGAGTTAGTGTTGGTCTAATTTCATGTACTGATCTAGGTGGTAATTGCAGCCAAGTGTGAGTAATGGAGTCAAGCGGTGAATTAAGCTATCAGAGCGCGGATAGCCAAAGTCGGATGACAGCTACGTTTTTGAGCCATTATTTGCAACGCTACTCGTCCTACACACCGGAATATTTAAAGGGCTTATTAAAACCTGATAGTTAATTATAATTGCTTCCATCATGCGAATTTTTAAATGTGAAGTTTCCAGGTGGTATTGTGTGCTCCATTATTTTCGTGTAAAGCTAATAATTTTCAGCGTTTTATTATTGTTACCAACCCCGAGACTTATCGAAACCTCGGATAATTTTTGTCGTACAATTATACAGTTTATACAAGCAAAGAAGTATAATTTTTTTATCACTTACTGCAGTTTCAATGAAACGGTTCTTCTCGCCGCCATGAAAGTCACGTTTTATAAAATGAGCTACGACGAAAGCACGGCTACTGTTTTGTTTTACGTTGGTCCTAGGCTCAGTGCCATTGTCTTCTTCGCTTCAATTGTTCCGTTTAATTCGTTCTCTTGATTGGCGCTTAGAAAGTGTGAAGTTCGGCAGGGTGTTGCTTAACTACTGCTCCTGGAGCGTGACGACCGTAGCAACTTGTTCTCTTGTGTTCAAGCCTGGGTTCAGTTTTGTTCTACCTCATATGTTCAGTTTTGTGCTACCTCATCTATTCAGTTTTCTGTATTACGAAAGTTCGCTCCTGCATTATTACGTGTGTTCCAATTTTGTGTTGCCAATAGTTTTTTCGCTTGTGTTGTATCCAGTTCGACGTTAGGTTCACTCCAGTCCGGTGTTTAGTTCACTCCAGTTCGGCGTTTAGTTTACTCCAGTTCGGCGTTAGGTTCACTCCAGTTCGGCGTTAAGTTCACTCCAGTTCGGCGTTTAGTTCACTCCAGTTCGGCGTTTAGTGTCTGCTTCATTCTGCAGTGTCAGGTGAGATCAATCCATACGAAATGGATTTTATTTAGTATTCGATTTTACTTTATGGTGTATGATTCGTCATAAGTAAGAGTTCGTGTTTTTTATCGATGCTGGAACTCATCTTGACGAGAATTTTTCGTGTGATAGTTTGCTTGTTTGTTATGGTATCATCTTCTTGTGCATATTTTTTCGGAGGTAAGGTATTCTAAAAATTTTATGATTTTTATTGTCCATGCTCCTTATTTACTCTCGTGTTAAATCATTCACTATTCCGCGTTTGTGTTACTGAAATGTCATCCCACTAAATCGTACTTATATTGTGTGTAATGTGTGCCTGTTATGTTCAGCCCGATTTGCGAGCCAACTTGGATTATTACTTACTGATTATTATATTTGTTTTGTTTTGCTTTTATATTTGCTTTCGTGCTTACATTTTTATTTTGTGTTGCTTTTTTGTCCTATGTTGCTTTAACGCGTGTTTTGTTATGTTTTAGGGGCCTGCGACGCAGACAAGGGTAAGTAGCCACTACGTATTTTTTTTTAATTTTTCATCGCTTCTTCCCAGCATGCAAGCCAGGTAAATATTTAGATACTTTTTCTCCGGGTGTATGGTTACTAATTCTAAATATTTATTGGGTATATTATAAATTACCAATAGAACGTTTATATAAATATCCCGTTCTCACTTAGCTGTATATATTTTTCGCAACGTTGAAATATTTTTTATATATAAATCAATAAGATTGATCTTGATATATATCTATGTTTTATCTTCTAGCGCCGACTCGCTTGCGGTGAACGATTGGATTTGGTGTGCTTTACTTTAAAAGTCTTTATTAATTCAGTTCTGTAACTATGGCATCTAATTCTTTTATGCTTTTAGCGAAGTATTAACTGGAACAAGTCACTCATTACGTAATTTTATGCTAATAAGATTATGCTAATTAAATCGCGTTTATTCGACCAATTCCCTTCGCTTGATTTTCCAGCCGTGTGAATAATTACTCATCAAGTACCACCGTCGTTACTACGAACCTCACGCAATTCACGAAACTTGGAACTGACACGCATAAATCTACTGGACTTTATTGCTTATGGAAGCATTTTGAACTGACACGCATAAATCTACTGGACTTTATTGCTTATGGAAGCATATCTGTTAATATTTCCGGTGCGACTGTTCAAGCAGAGCCCACTACCGTATAATGCCACATATATCGAGAATTTTAATGCATTTTATATGCAGTTTGTATAATTCCTGCGTCGAGTGATGTGCTATGAATGTCATCGATTATGGTAGTGTGTCACTTCTTCGCTTGGGTACTTAAGAAGAAAGGCCCTGAAGGTTTTTACACGCGTTACATTTATTATTGCATATATTTCTAGGTTTGATTTTTATTTAGTGCAAAGAGCACCTCAATTTGACACATCAATCGATCATCTGCAGTCGCGCAGCTTGTTGATTGTTACTTCTGTTTTGAACGGACGTTGAGGCTCTTAGTTTTGGGCGCGATGACGGCGGTCTGTCAAGTTTTTCTGTACACCAGCAAGGATAACTCGAAGGCTGCGAGCACTGAACATTCCGTGCACTGTATACGCTACGTGCAGCGTGCAGTGAACATTGCGTACTCTGTATATACACTGCGTGCAGCGTGCACTGAACATTGCGTACTCTGTATACGCTACGTGCAGCGTGCACTGAACATTAGTATACACTACGTGCAGCGTGCACTGAACATTCCGTACTCTGTATACACTACGTGCAGCGTGCACTGAACATTCCGTACTCGGTATACACTACGTGCAGCGTGCACTGAACATTCCGTACTCTGTATACACTACGCGCAGCGTTCAGTGATAATTCCGTACACAGTATGTACTACGTACAGCGTGCACTGAACATTCCGTACAATGTATAGCAGTGAACATTCCATACTCTGTATACACGACGTGCAGGTGGCGTGTAGTGTGTACGGTTATTCTGTACACACTTCAGAAGTTGACATGTCCTTTTCAGTGTTAACTCTCATATGATTTCACCAATCAAAGCCTAGATGTCATTAACCTTTTAAATTTTTCTTCTACATATTCTTCAAGCTATTTTTGTTTACGCTCGTGAAATTATTTGTATTTTTCAGCCCCTTTAACTGAATGAAATGCAACCTTTCGCGGGGACCTGATTGATGTTATTCTAATTTTGTACTAATGAGCTGTAAATTCATCGATTTTTGCTCTCAAGTTCCGTCGTAGTAAATTCATTAGCTTGGTGTCAAGCCCTAAATTGCCTGCACTGCTTAGATAGCGACAACATTCGCCCTAGGAAACGTCGTACTTACTTAAAGCTGAACTTAATTCCAGACAAACTACCAATGATTTTTGAAACTATAGAAGAATTGAAGTATTATACAGATATTTACAATATTAACTCCAGGTAAATGTCCAGTGATTTTTGAAACTATAAAAGAAAAAAGTATAATAAAGATAATTATAATATCAACTCCAGGTAAATGTCCAGTGATTTTTGAAACTTTAAAAGAACTAAAGTATAATAAAGATTATTCTAATATGTCGTATCAAAGAAATGATAAACGTGATGATCTATATTCTAAAGCCTCGGTTAAAAGTTTATATGAGCAGGAACCATAATTACGGCTCCCATTGATTCAGACGACCAATCCTGCACCTGGTCTCCGCATGTTTTTTTTACTTTTTTTTAAATGGCAAACATTGTTGGGCTGATGCATTCGTGGCATTCAGACCGATCTCGATATCTGAGTCCGTGGCTTAGGATTGGAATTCGAAAATTGGATTAGATTGTATGCGCTCTTCACAGTCGGTATGCATGTAGTTGTCATGTGTCTCTATCCGCGTAATATGGTATTTATAATTTGAAGAAGTCTTTCCAAGCGTCAATGAATCGAGAATATGATAATTTTTAAGTTTTGGTGGATGTATTGATAGAATTTGCTGGAGAATTAAATTTTAAGCAGAGCCACAAGTCTAAATTGATCGCTGCATGGATCAGTTTGGCCGGGAGCTGCGGGCTGAGGGCAGGGTTTGGTACACAGCTTTTGTGGTGTCTTCAGAAAATCACGAATATTGTACATTTTCTTACCATGTGCGTGCTCGGTAATGACAATTTGCGTGCATATTATTAAGTTGATAGGCTTTCACGCTGCCACTAAAGCAATTATCGCCACGAGGAGTCGCACGTCAGTGTTCTTGGTGCTGCTATTCAGTGCCGCAAAGTCAATTACTGTAACGATATTGTTGAATTTTAGGGATTTATTGATTAAAGTAGGAGTTACGAATGTTTATTAGGGTGTGATTTGGGGAATAATGCGAAAAGCAAGATATGGGACGAAGTGGTTGTTCCTGTTCATGGGGGAAAACTCTGGGTTGTTTAGGGTAAAATCAAAGCAACTCTTCGTTGTTGGCCACAGTGGAATTGTCTGTACTAGTTGGCGTCGTGACCAAGTTGGTCGGAGTAGTGTTGACGTGCTATTCGAGACTACCACGGGAACACGTGCGCTGGCGAATGACGAAAGTGGCGGCAGCTTCATGACAGGATTCTGAAGATACCCTCGAACACTTATATGCGCTTGAACGAATATTTCAGAAAATGCCGTACAACAGCAGACGAGTTAAACGTCGGCGACGACACGACACCCTTCAGAGAATCTGAAGGGTATCGAGTCGTAAATTATGTCGGGGGACATAATTTATCGTCCCGGAATAGACTCTACCTGAGGCTGAGAATCTACACAAGCGCGGCCGCAGCAAGAAAAGCCATCAAGGGCGCCAAAACATTGGATTCACGAAGGTCGTAAGAGACCGTCGATTAACAACAATTAAATACCGCGGAGCAAGTTACGGCAAGTCTACCAGCTCTTAGTGTCCGGGTGTCTCCGTCCCAAACCCAGTGATGTACCAGTTAATTGGGGAACGGGTATTTTTTTCGTAGAGGCGGGTATTTTGGCGGAGAGCGACCAGTGGGTATCGATGTTATACCTAGCAATTGACAATAACTCTGGCCAGTCCCTATACTTGGGTCTGTGTCTAGTTTATTATTCCTAGCTATTGACAATAACTCAGTCCAATTGCTGTACTTAGGTCTGTGTCGGATTATAATGCAGTCGTGTCGAATCCTTCCATGTGTCGTCATGTCCCTGCTGAAATAATTCATAATTGCCGGATAGAGGACCCTTACGTGCCATTGCAGCCGCTACGGCCGAAATCTTACAATTAAATAAATTAATTCCTCGAAAGGGAAAGAGCTGAAATAAATTTCCCCAATTAAGACTTGGCCATTATTAACTGTTCCTCCACACTTGGCCGTCCGGTCCCCAATTCAATTATCACCGAGTAATACTTGCCGGGTCGTTGCCTAAAAAACTCGATTCTATAACCTATTTCCGACTTCGGAATTTAATCAGCTAAACGCCACGCCTGTTATATGCTGCCAACCCATGTCCTGCCACGCCAACTCAATAAACAAATAATCGTAAAACGTATCATAATGGCGAAACTTTGACTGTCGCATAGCTTTACTAACATTTCCCCATTAATACATTTTATTAACGCATAATAACACAAGTTTCATATTTGTGTCCTCGAAATATACTGCCCCATGTGAGTCAAATAATGAAAGTTTCTCTTGAAGAAGTTGCCATGCGTGTCGTTCTTCACTGTTAGCCTAAATCCGATTCGAACTCTTGGGATAATCCACCTTCTTTGATGGCCTATGAACGTAATTGAGCTTTTAACGGCCTTGCGCCTTAGACTTGCATACATCATCCTTATGTCCGGCGTCAGCCATCAGCCGCTGGCCATTGTTTACAAATACCGGGTTGACACTAATGCCTCATTGCCGCGCTTCTGTATCAGCGGCTCTAGGCGTTTGGCTGCCGCTACTGCAATTCGCCTAAATTTATCACGCCTAAATTTCAGCGCGAAGTTATCTTCAAGTGCGTACCTCATGTCATGAACCATAAGTGTTGTAAACTATAAATGAGAACCATAAACACGATCAGTAAATGATCGTGTTTATGTTTGTTTCTTCACTCCTTTATGTTTGAGGTTAATATTAAGGATTAAATTTAATCATCGTGATATGTTGTTATATTTATACTAATTTGATAGCCGCATATTCTGAAATCAATTATATATGCGTGTGTGTTGTATTCCCTCGTGATATTGGTGAAAATGTTATTTCTAAATTAGGTAGTAAACGGTCTGTTCATTCGTAGAACAGTTGTATCATAAAGGTTCACCACTTCTCAATATGATTCCACGTTGCCTAGAATGAGCCTCTCCATAAGCTCGACAAACTTTCATCGAAAACGTCACGGCCACGAACATCAGTAACATTAACTTTTCGATGAGTTTTTCGTTATTTATGGCCGCAAATTGCCTTTCTGGTGGCATTTTTAGCGGCGTAAGCTCTTGATAAATTCTTGATGCGCCATCATCATCATGGCTTCGCTTGATCGCATCGACGAGCAGTTCGCCCGTCTCCTCTTGCTGAGCTTCGTCATAGCGTTCTATTGATTAACTGATATTAGGACTTCGATGCAGATATTATTTGCACGTTCTCACGTAATATCATGCAGCATTATTTATTTCACGACTCTTCGCATGCAAGTCTTGAGCGTCACTTGCTGACTGCCTCCTGGATTGAATTCAATTGTTAATCATAACGTGGTTTAGGTGTTCCTCTGACGGAGATAATCTCGTGTTAGATCATTTGTTTTTTTCCGAAAAAGTCTTCAAGTGAGGTATTTGAAATTTGTTATATATATCATTACTACCTGATTCATCTGAAGTATGGGTTGGTTATTCG